GGGGGAGTGCAGTGGAGGAGAGTTGTGTGTGCGTGGGGGGTGAGAGCGCGTGGAAAGAGGGGATTTAATATCTTAAAATACTCCTCCTGATTTCACAAGAGGTGTGACTCCAGCCCAAGCGAACCGGCTCCCAGCGGCGCTGAGAGCTCGCTTGCTGCCGACCAGAGAGAGCCTCTCAAACAGAAGCTGTGGCAACTGTTCACGTTTCTTAAGGTTTATTCAGATTTCATAGAATCATAGAATCATAGAATTGCCCAGGCCGGAAGGGACCTCCAAAGGCCATCTAGTCCGACCTCCCCGCAGTCAGCAGGGACACCCCCAACTAGACCAGGTTGCCCAGGGCCTCATCGAGCCTCACCTTGAATATCTCCAGGGATGGGGCCTCAACCACCTCCCTGGGCAACCTGTTCCAGTGCTCCACCACCCTCACAGTGAAGAACCCTCTCCTCATCTCCAGTCTAAATCTGTTCCCCTCCAGCTTGAAGCCATTGCCCCTCGTCCTGTCACTGCAGGCCTTTCTAAACAGGCTCTCCCCAGCCTTCCTGTAGGCCCCCCTCAGGTACTGGAAGGCTGCTATTAGGTCTCCCCGCAGCCTCCTCTTCTCCAGACTGAACAACCCCAGCTCCCTCAGCCTGTCCTCGTAGCAGAGGTGCTCCATCCCCCTGATCATCCTTGTGGCCCTCCTCTGGACCCTCTCCATCAGGTCCATATCCTTCTTATAATGAGCGCTCCAGACCTGCACACAATACTCCAGGTGAGGTCTCACCAGAGCAGAGTAAAGTGGCAGAATCCCCTCTCTGGACCTGCTGGCAACGCATCTTTTGATGCAGCCCAGGATGCAACTGGCCTTCTGGGTTGAAGAAAGGCGTCATGGTTTGTGGCTGCCAGGCTGTGGGACTGTAACTTTTCACACGCAGAGGAGGTTACTGGGTTGGCATCAATCCCACCTGAAACAGGCATCTCCTGCTGCTGGGCTTCAAAAGGGTTTTGATGTCTCCTCTCTTTAGTGATTCAATGAGTCTTACATGACTGGCTGCCCGGAAAGGCAATGTGCTGTTGTGGTTACACCTTGGAAAAGAGTAGAAAGTGTGGCTTTTTCCAGGCTCTCTGGGCCTAGAAATCTACCCTGAACAACTATTTTAAGTCTTTTATTTAATGTTTCGTGGAATCGTGTAGCCTACCCTAAAGAAGGGGAAAACCAGCCAAGGTGAATTTTAACATTAGCCTTGATTTTTTCAGTGTGTACACTCCAAAGAAGATGGGATGATGGGTTAGAAATCTCGTTTCTAAATCATCACTTAAATTTCCAGGTGAAACTCCTGCTGAACTTCATTCCTTAGACTTATTTTTGAAAACTTGAAGAGAAATAGACTTGGTGAAACTCCCTCATTATTGCGAGGTCGGCATAAAGTCTATTTAATGAGGTGTTTTTTTGCGGCAGCGGTTGATTTTTAAAATCTCCCTTTTCATTCCTGAAATCTCAACGTGAAGAGCACCTTCCATTGTGGTGTGCTCTGCTAGCGAGCATCTCCTGCCTCCTGCAAGAGGCTGCATGCAGCCCTGCTAGCAAGCTCTCGTGTCATAAATAGAATTTGTTCAGGAAATAAAAATGTATTGTTTTCATTGTTAGAGGATGCTACTAAATTGGCTGTATGTTTGTCTAATAATCACATCTAAAGCTGATTATTCTGGTAATAGCCTTAAGATATTATTTAAAAATAAATATATAAATGCACTACTTTTGTACTAATACTAGTTTTTAATCTCTTCTTGTTTCTATGAAGTCTGAATGAGATTTTCAAAATTGAATAATAATTTGATCCGTTAATCTTTTGAAGCTAGTAATTTTATTTTCCCCTCTTTGCAGTCTCTGAGGCTCGCAAATGAATAGAGCTTCATTACTGGAGTCTGCATTTAATAACCATTATCCATTATCTTGTAATTAAGACTCCCTGTAACGAATCATGAGGACAATGCAAAAATACATAGTACATTTCTTTAATGAACTGGAAAATGTTCATCTTGTTCTATTTAGTAATGAGTTGCTGAATAGTCGTTAAATCCACTGGAGAATAGAGCTAGATGGATTTTGAAGACTATCTTGAGTTTGTGGTTAATCTATTAGAATTAAAATTTCATCTTCTATTTTTATCAACAGCTGATTAGAAGTCATTCTGTTTGACCAAATTGATTAGAAGACCATATACAAGGGCAGCTGTTGTTTAATGAAAGTTTTTAATGAAACTGTACCATAGAGACTTGTAATTATAAGACTTATAAAAGCTTTGACTTACCTTATACTAGAAAAAATGAAAAGTATTGCGCTGAAGGACTTTAAGTGCTGCATTTCGAAAGGGAAATTAAAAATATAATTTGGCGATGTCGAAGTTTCACTTCCACTGTTACTTGTTTTAATGTGACTATCAGATGTCCATAGTGTCTCTCTGGAAGGGATTAGCTCTGAAATATGTAGCTCAATTGTCTCTCATATGTCCTCCATTCTTTGCAAAGCTCAATCAACTGTTAATTGCCTCTTTCGCTCATCGCACTTTCCCCGAAGTTAGAACTTTTTTCTGCAAATAACTGTGTCTCTTTAGAGTGGGAATTGTCATAGGAGGCTGCGATTTAATCACCGACGGGCTGAGGTAGTGCCTAGATGGGAAGCCTACAGAGAAGACTGTGGTCTTACGCGACGCAATGTTAGTGAAACCGTTCAATTATTTCACTGAATCTCACTGAATTTCACTGAATTTTACTGAATTTTAGAGTTGGAAGGGACCATAGAGATCATCTAGTCCAACCTCCCTGCTGAAGCAGGATTGCCTAGAGCTTCTCAGAGCATGTTACTCAGGAGCATCCAGGCAGGTCTTGAAAATCTCCAAGGAAGGGGACTCCACACCCTCCCTGGGCAGCCTGTTCCAGGGCTCCGTCACCCTCACCGTGAAGAAGTTTCTCCTCATATTTGAGTGGAACCTCTTATGTTCCAACTTGTGCCCGTTGTCCCTCGTCCTCTCACTGGGAACCACTGCAAAGAGTCTGGCTCCCTCCTCCTTCAACCCTCCCTTGAGATACTTGTAGGCATTGATAAGGTCTCCCCTCAGCCTTCTCTTCTCCAGACTAAAGAGTCCCAGCTCTCTCAGTCTCTCCTCATAAGGGAGATGCTCCAATCCTTGAATCATCTTTGTTGCCCTTCGCTGGACTCTTTCTAGTAGTTCCCTGTCCCTCTTGAACTGGGGAGCCCAGAACTGGATGCAGTACTCCAGTTGTGGCCTCACCAGTGCAGAGCAGAGGGGGAGAATGACTTCCCTTGACCTGCTGGCTACACTCTTCCCTATACAACCCAAGATACCATTGGCCTTCCTGGCTGCAAGAGCACACTGTTTACTCATTGTCATTTTACTGTCCACCAGGACCCCTAGATCTTTCTCTTCAGTAGTTGCCTCTAGCAGGTCCACCCCTAACCTGTACTGGTACCTGACATTTTTCTTCCCCAGGTGCAGGACCCTACACTTTTCCCTGTTGAACCTCATGAGGTTCTTCCTTGCCCAGCCCTCCAGCCTGTCCAAGTCTCGCTGGATGGCAGCACAGCCCTCCGGGGTGTCAGCCACCCCTCCCAGTTTGGTATCATCAGCAAACTTGCTGAGGATACACTCTGTTTAAATTCTGTTTAAATCACAGGACACAGAAACACGCCTGGCTTTGTCTTAACTTCCTACCGGGCTGAGACCGAGCTGCCTGCCAGCCTTCCTCAGGAGGTCTCTGGAGCAGCACACCATCCAAACGTCGTCTAGGCAACTCTTTAGTTGGAGCCAGTGGTGAAACTTCCCCTGCTTACTCTAGGGGATGTTGTAGAGGCATCATCGTTCGAACAAGAGACAAAATGGACCCTAAGCCAAATTTGAAGTGGAAGCAGATGCAGTGCCAATCGACTGAAGTGGATGATGCGCTGCTACGCGATGTTTGAATTATCCCTCTTCTTCTCCCCATTACTTTTGATAATTAATGATCCCACAGTACACCTTTTCTAAGAAGTAGGTTCCCAGGGATGAAGTGCGCCCTAATGCAATTAAAGAAGTTCTGTCATCGCATTGTGTCAATGCAGGATCGCACGCTGCAAGGCAAATTTTTTTGTTAGTTTCTTAGCTTTTTGTTATATTGCGCTGCAGGATTTGTTTTAAGCCAAGCCAGAATAGCAAGAATGCACAAAAACACTATAAAAGTATTCAGAACAGGCGGTGGAAAATATTCACAAGTGAGAAACAGGAAAAAAAGAAGCCAAGGCTAACACTCCTTCTTTAAATTACACAGATGTTTTGACCTTGGCACAGAATTATATCAGACCATGGCTTTAAGTATAGTAATTTGCAATGTTACAGTTGCAAAATGCATGAGAAGGGAGTTTTTCCCCTGTTTACAGTATTATACAGCTGATTTTGTAAGTATGCGTGGGATTTCTTTCCTTTCACTTTAAATAGCTGCAGGAGATACAATACCAGACTGTCAATTGGGAGACTAAATAGATGTAAAGTTAAATTAAAAAAAGTGATGAAAATTGTTTCTGTTCAGAAAAACCATTGTGGAAATACTAAAATGTTGATTTATATGCATTCTGAGGAAATAATTTCCACTGTTGTAGTTAGTCAGACACATTCCTATTAATGTATATATACACATATATTGAGTAGTGTCCTTATAGGAGCATATATTGTATTGGACTGTCCTGAAGAGGTTGTTAGTCTGATAGCTAGAGCAAAGAATGAAGAGCTAGGATGTTCATTTCGCCACTGGGATGCCTGTCTTGCTCTGAAACCAGATGGGTATCATCCTCCTGCTCCAGTCTCAACCTGAGCAAAGTTGGTACCGACACCACAGGGACGTACGTGTGAAGAAATGCTTCATAATTGCTGTGAAGCATGAGGACATCTTTGGGGGTGTGAACTATGTACGTGCAGAGTGGCTCTTGCTCTAAAACTACCATAAAGCTTTTTGTTTCCTTTCAGGTTCTGATTTTATAAAGACGTCTACAGGAAAGGAGGTGGAAAACGCGACCTTTCCGGTTGGAGTAGTCATGATGCGAGCCATTAAAGAATTCTACTGGCGAACTGGCAACAAGGTAGTTCCTGCTCCCTTTATAAAAATTAACCAGACTCACTCAGAAGTAAATAAGACTGTAATAGTTTCAAATTTCAGAACATCTGAAGGGTGCCTATAGAAGAGCTGGGGAGGGACTCTTTGCCAGGAAGGGTAATGATAGGACAAGGGGAAACAGTTTTAAATTGGAAGAAAAAAGATTCAGATTAGATCTCAGGAAGACATTTTTTATTATGAGGGTGGTGAGACACTGGAACAGGTTGCCCAGAGAAGCTGTGGCTGCCCCATCCCTGGAAGTGTTCAAGGCCAGGCTGGATGTGGCCTTGAGGAACCTGCTCTGGTGGGAGGTGTCCCTGCCCAGGGCAGGGGGTTGGAACGAGATGATCTTTGAGGTCCCTTCCAACTCTAATCATTCTATGATTCTATGATTCTATGATTCTATATAAATCCACATATATGGGCTTCTGTGGCTACAAGAGCAATAGGTAGTGGAACTTCTCTCTTCTATTCCTCATTTGATATGCTAATATTTGTATACTTTAAAAAAAAAAGACAAAGAAAGCACTTTTGGCTTTGCTCCCTTGAATAACTGCCACTTCATTCCCTAAAAGCTCATGCAATCTTGATGCATCCCCTGCTGCATTTTGGTTCGGGTTTTGTTTCACCACTTTAGGTATTTAAATGGTCATTTCCTTTAATAACAGGGCAAATCTCAAGCTGACAGTGGCTGAAATAGTCCCACAAGCCTCAGTGGAGCTATGCAAATGTATAGCCATCAAGGGTCTGTCCAGTGTACACAACTGGATTTTCTGACTTCATTCTGGCATCCCAAGGGATAAATTCTGCTCTTTCCTCCCTTGCCTAGAGATGCTTCCCATGGGGGCAAGAAGGCAGATCCAGTTGGATCCTGTTATCTGGGATGGAGGGAGAGAGGGAGGGAGGGAGGGAGAGAGAGAGGGAGAGACAGGGTCCAGAAGAACATCATGTCCTGATACACGACGTTTATCCCTCAAGTCACTGTCAAGTGAGGTCAAGGCAAGGAGCAGGGGAGAGCATAGGGCAGAGCCAGTGATGAACTATCTGTATTGAGTATTGTGTCCAGTTCTGGGCACCTCAATACAAGAGAGATATCGAGGTGCTGGAGCGAGTGCAGAGGAGGGCAACGAAACTAGTGAAGGGCCTAGAAGACAAATCATATGAAGAGCGGCTGAAGGAGCTGGGGCTGTTCAGTATGAGGAAGAGGAGGCTGAGGGGAGACCTCATCACTCTCTACAACTACTTGAAAGGACACTGTAGAGAGGTTGGTGCTGGTCTCTTCTCACAGGTAATTAGCAATAGAACGAGAGGGAACGGCTTCAAGCTCCAACAGGGTAGGTTTAGATTGAACATTAGGAAGGAATTCTTCACAGAAAGAGTGGTCGGGCATTGGAATAGGCTGCCCAGGGAGGTGGTTGAGTCACCATCCCTGGCTGTGTTTAAGGGACGTTTAGATGGGGTACTGAGGGACATGGTGTAGGGGAGGACTTTGTAGAGTAGGGTAGATGGTTGGACTCGATGATCCCAAGGGTCTCTTCCAACCTCAATGATTCTATGATTCTATGATTCTATCTGCATCCATCCTTGCTATCCATCTCCATCCATCCTAAGACCCTCTCCCTATTTCTGGGTCACTGTCCCATCTGCAGGTGGCCTTTCAAGGTATGATGTTAGGACATGGGATGAGCAGTGGGATAAGGGCTGAGACGGCTTCAGGTGCTGTTGGAGCTTGAGGAGCACGGGACAGCAGGTTAGACGTGTGTCGTCCATCTGGTCTCTGTAGTCCTCTAGATGAGGCCAGTGTGGATCCCTGGGCTGTCCTCACTCCTCCCTTGCCCAGACTGCATCTTTCTCTGCCACACAACAACTCCAGCAGCTCCCATCCTCTGGCTGCTGCTGCAGGAGCATCCTTACTGCTGCCAACCCCAGGCAGATCCCTGGGGCCGGGTGACTCACCCCGGCACGGGTGCTGCTTCCACGAGCTGTTTGCCAGAGATTGGGCTCTGCTGCATTAAGGCAGCTTTGTACTTATAATTGGATATAAATGTTAAATTCACCTTTTGCTTTAAAAGGACGCATTCACCGTCTAAAATGTGTTATTAAGAACGAGTACTTACGTCTGTGCGCATGTGTGTGTCAGGGAATTAGATGTAAACTGACTTTATGTGCTTTTATTAACCGAAGACAATATTATCAGTGACAAGAGATTTCTAAATGGTTTCTTTAACAAACTAATTTTGCTGCTGTGGGGATGCTTTCTAGCAAGGCGTTGGCTGGGAAAAACAGGTTAATACAGAAATTAAACTTCTTCGAGGAAAGGAACAAGTTGCAGAGTAACATTTATTGAATGATAAGCTGTGGTGGTGATATGAAAAGTGTGCAATATAATGGGAAATAATCTTTTCCTGTCATTATTGAAGGACATACATAAATTGGTTTTTCTGTTGGGAAAACCCCCAGTCCAGAAAAACTTATTACTTTTAATAATATAAGGTGAAGAGAAAATTCTTGAGGAGATGAACTTATTAAGCAAAATAATGAAATGCTGTGAAACAGCAGGAAAGTGGTGGCTGGACTTTGTACCGCTCTTGAATTAAATTCCAACCCCCCCTTCCTTTTTGCGTTTTTATGGCAGTCAGATGTGCCGTTTGGAAAGCTGGTAAATGGAGGAGAGGACAGGCTTGTCTTTGTCAGCTTTTTTTTGCAATGAAAAGAGCTTTCAGAATTTGCTAAAAAGGGAAGGAATTCTGCATGGTGTTTTTTTAATTCTCTTATTAACTCCATTTTACTTCGTTTTGCCACAGATTACCTCAAAGAGCTGTAATATTTCTAGGAAGAAATTTAAATTTGAATTTCATTAGGATTTCTCTTCCTGGGGGAAAACACATTCCCGCTATTTTAATTTATTGTCTAGAAGATGCTTTTCCAGTTGCTGTGGTTTAAATTCCTTTTGGAAATTTAATGTTAACAGATGTATGCATACACTCACCCATCCATCCGTCCAGCCACAAAACCACAGTCTTCATCTTTTGGATTTATCAAGCTTTTCCTGTTATTGTTCTTTATAATCTTATTGGAAATATGCTGTTATCACAGTGTTTCAGTGTGACAGAAGGATTTATTCTGTATTTGTTTGTCCTGAAATCGCTATAAAAAAAAAAATTACCAAACACATTTAAAACCAGATACTTTTTGATTCCAGTGTTACATCCTTAAGGTACAAAGAAAACCTCGATGCAGTGAGTTCTCAGGAACGTATGTACAGAAATCAGAATGGTAATTCTTGCAGAAGGAGGCTGGTGGGAAGGAGCACCCGAGGTAGAGGTTTATGGCAGAGGGAAATGGAGAAAGAATCACTGTGTGCTGCTGTATGGATTGTTCAGATTTTTTATTTTTTATTTTTTTAATGCGGAAAGACTTTTTCCTATTTCTCCTTGTTTTTGTAGAGTTTAGTAAGCTGCTGCAGGCCAACATTTTGGCTAATGCAGGTGACAAAGTTTTTGATGAGGGATTTGATAGCTGTGTGTCACAGATCAAGATGTGTTTAAATGGTACATAACCCAAAAGACTGGCATTAGGGGTCCACGCCAAGGACCTCAGTGCTGGCTCTGCACAGCAGGCTCTTCATGGGATTCAAGATATTCTTTACCTCAAAGATAGGTTTTTTTGAGCTGTGTACCTCTACGTACACGGCAGTTCACCTGAACTGACTAAATATGATACCTATCTCACATTAAGTGACTGAAAGCATATCTAGTATATGTTGGGTGAGAAGTTTTGCAGTTGTTGTGAAGCACACAACGTCCAATTTTGCAAATTTAATTTCCATTTGGAAAATTCTAGTGAAAATTAAACCTCTGATAGGCTTGAATCTACAGCCCAATCGTGTAGAACTGTGGTGCACAGGCTTTTTATAAAGTCCAGCCATCTCTCATTGCTTTCCCCATGACTCAGCTGCCTCACGTGCTTCATTTCAGCATCTTTGGTGTGACGTTATTGCGTGTGTATTTGTTGTTACATATTTGGAATTAGATTGTGACATGGGCAGTAGGTGATATGCCCCAGGTCCTGCCTCAATCCCCTGGCCTAATATGTGCTTATGGGCAAAGTATTCCCCTCAGACCTCAAACCCAGCTCCTGAGGAAGTGTGCTGGGGTCAGAAGTATTGCTGCCTCAGTTGCAGTCCCTCAGGGTGGAAATGTTCTCTTTGGCTGAGGGTTGACAGCTCTCAGCACTAGTCCAGGGTTTATACTGTTTGCAGGCAGGTACTTCAGGAGTAGAGTTGTTACGTACATCACAGGCACTTTGAGACTGCAGGTGTACAAATGCTGATTGCTCTTCTAGGGCTGCTGATGAATGAAAATGTGCATCGCACTTTTTATTTATTTATTTTTTTCTCTCTATAAAGGTTGGATTTAAACCTGCTGGGGGCATTCGGACAGCAAAAGACGCTATTACTTGGCTGATGCTGGTGAAGGAGGAACTGGGAGTGGAATGGCTGACGCCAGAGCTCTTCCGCCTGGGTGCCAGTAGTTTGCTGGAAGACATTGAGAAACAGGTTAGTTGTTAACAGTTTTCAGCTTGGTGGAGAGAAAAAGTAATCTTTCTAAATGTGCTGGCTTACTTTTTTTACAGAATATGCTTTTTGGTGCTGTTCGAAAGATAGTAGAACATGCATCTAATTCATTATTACTGACAGGTTCACTTCCAGCCCAGTATTTCTTTAAGTTTGGCCTGTTATTACAGACATCTGGGACTCTGATATTCCAGCAGCTGGCAATTGCCTTGGCCAGGTTTGCAATGCAGTGAGCAAAGAGGATCTGTTTGTACATCGATGGGGTCTTTTGCAAACACGTGGTAGTGCACTCCTCTGCACTTCTAGCTGTTGCCAGTTCAAGTGACCCTCAGAATATCCCACAGACCTTTTGTGTCTCTGGGCCAGAACCATTCATGATATATTTTCATGCTGTGGAGAAAGTCACATCTCATCCTACATATGGTACCGCTGATGGAGAAGTTTTTACATATTGATTATTTTCTGGGGGAAGAAAAGCAATTGACTCCTACAACGCCTTATTTTTCTAATTGCTTTTATTTCTGTGCAGGCTGGTCTCTGTGTTTCCTGGCAGACAAATAGTGTATGAGGCACAGTGGCAGTGTGTCTTCCCAGTGGGAAGAAGGGTTCTGACCTATCTACCCACAACCTGCCTCACTGGCACAGGGTGTCAACCCTGAAGGATACAGTGTAGTGTCATAGGAGCTACTAAACTATTTGGGTTGCTAAACTTCACTCCCATGATCATTAAACCCAGGAGATGGGGTGATATTAGCTTTAACCAAGAAAAAACCAAAAGAGTCATAGAATCATAGAATCATAGAATTGCCCAGGCTGGAAGGGACCTCCAAAGGTCATCTAGTCCGACCTCCCCGCAGTCAGCAGGGACACCCCCAACTAGACCAGGTTGCCCAGGGCCTCATCGAGCCTCTCCTTGAATATCTCCAGGGAAGGGGCCTCAACCACCTCCCTGGGCAACCTGTTCCAGTGCTCC